TGTCTGTGTACGCGTAACAGAAGTTTGTCCGGCGCCGCTGCTCTGCGGGCTCGGGTATGTAGGCTTCGGCTTGCCCGACGTGTTGACGGTCATGGGCACGCCACCTGTAGAGTTGAGCGTCTCCCGGGCATACATCGCGAGCACCCTCGAGCCAAGATCGGTACAGAAGCCGAGCGGCGGCAGGTTTTGGATGGTATCTGGCCAGACCGTCTGGGTGACTTGCGGCTTATTGCTCTCCACGGGGCAGAAGTCGCCGCAGGTGTCGGGGTGGTTGCAAGCCCAGAACTTCTCGAAGCCTTCGTTGTGGGTGTCGTTGCATCTCACGAGGCCGACCCATGGCGACTTTCCTGTGCGAACGGTCAGCATGATGGAAGCTCCCAAGACGTCAGGAGGGCTTACCCATATCAAGGCCACCCTTCGGAGGGCAGTTGTTGTGCTCGTATGTCGGGTCATTGCAGCCATACTGGTATGTCACGCCGGTGGTGTTATCCCAACAGGCCTGGGAGATGCAGTTGTCTCCGGCGAAGCAGCACCAGCTAGAGGCATAGTCCTTACCCTGAGACCTCGAGCCGTCATCGTTCTCGGTGAGGCAAGGAACGAGCGAGGGGTGGGCGGGAGAGTCCTTGGCGTAGTAGCACTGGTTCCAGTCTTTCACTGGACTCTGCGCTACGATGAGCAGCGCCGAGGAGAGCAGAACGAGGGGGAGCATCGTGAAGCTCGGTCGTGGGCGTGGTGTGGTGGGTATCGTGTGGAGCAGAAATGACCGTGTTGAGAAACACGTGGAGGCGAGAAATTTGCGGACCCTGTCGCCTTCACGAAACGAGATTGACCATCCGTCGGGGGCGTCGTGGTGGTGTTTCCTGGGGAAAAAAACGAACTAGCGGCCGTTAATGATGAAGGAAGAACAAAAGTCGAGACGAGAAATGTTGGTGAATGGGGCGAGGTCCAAGTCGAGGCGGTCGCGGCCGATTCGAAGCAGAAAGGGAAGGAAAGAAAGAAGACACGGCACCTGCCCTTGGGGATGGACCCAGCGGCAGATCATTTCATTTTCCCTGCAACAATTTTCCAATAAAAGTCCCCCTGCCTCTCTCCCCTCTCACTCACTTCTGATTCTCAGCCCGTCAGCCCATCTGTCAGTCTTTGCTTTTTCTCCGTCATGTTCCACGACCAACAGCACCGCAGCACCAACAAGCTGAACTACAGCCAAGCGTGTAAGCACAAGCAAACATTTCACAGCCTCCAACGGCCAAGCCGTAGCCTGCTGCCGAAGTCACACACGAGCTAGCCAACCAACAAGCTGCAACAACAGGATCTGCGGAGAATTGTACACGAGCTGTGTTCCCCGTCCGTGCCGGGGTCTTCTGATAGGCCCGCTGCCGGGGGCCAACCCCGTTGCTTACAATGCGGGTGCAGACATGAGAGACACCGAGAATGATGCCAGATTGGACCAGAGCCAGCCTGAGTTGAACAGGGGTAGGGTAATTGAGCGGCCGCCCCATGGGCTACGAGTGCCTATCTGATCAACATAAAGTAAGCCGCCATCATGCACCCGTTCACCTTTCATCACGAAATATTGGGTTGAATGGCTGGCCTCTCGGGACCTTTTATCTCGGAGTCTATTATCTCGTCAGGTCGTGTACAAGCCACGTTCATTTAATGCTCGATTATTACTGCTGACAGTGGCAAGGAGCGCAAATCAAAAGATGATATCCTCGGCTTAGGTAGCTGAGAACTACCAGTGTCACTATACATTAGGTGGCGTCTTTATCTGGATATTCCAAGGTATTTTTCAAAGCCTGGGCAACTAGGTTGGTTGGACCGGCCGCATAGCTCTGACCAGAATCTTGGGTCTGGCGGGTCAGCCCCATTAACGCGACCACATGGTCTTCCATCACTGGATAATTCTTGTCCTGACTCAAGATCTGCAGTTTTTATCACCCCCAAAAGGATAGCAATCGTAACCCGGGCCCTTGGTGGAAGGAGCACTCCAGCAGGGCCGTTTCCGACCAACATGCTGCAAGGAGTCGCACTTCCCAGGAGCGGTAGCCAACGTCCATCGCGCCTCTCGCTACCTCGTGACAGTATCAAAGCAGCTGGAGCCTTTGAGTATGATCACTGAAGGATAGTGAGAGGGCTATCAGAGACGTGTTGGACATCGTGAACATACCGGGTAAGGAGACTCGGAATATTGAGGCTTTGCCGTCATAACCCGGCCGAGCCTGCAAAAAAGGTCGCGCCTGCCGTCTCAACTCTCCTTCCGACTATGACGCTACTTCGCGTCACCACCCGTCAACGCATATCGACATTTGGGTAAGTTGTGTGAAATGTTTCTTCCTGCCAACGAGGTCAACCGTTTCGAGCATCTTTGACTTACTGTGGCTTTAAAGTCATCAGAAGTGTATGAAGAAACATCTGGTTTGCCATGAACAGCGGAAATACAGTTGAAGTCCGAACAACTGTAAGACATGCAACGGATTTATGGATGCTTCTCAACTCAGTCGGGCCCTCGATTTGAAAGAAAATTGAGGCTACTTGCGCGACGGTCACTAGGTAAAGCCGTCACTCCGCTCCTGGGCTTCGATCGTCTGTCGTCATTGAATTGATGTGAATATCAGATGAGGACGGGGTCACGGGCATTGGTAATTCCTATGTTAGGGGAGTCGTCGCTACCTGGTTGATATAGACCACAGGAACCGTCCGCCAAGATGGCTCGGATGTAAAGCCAAGTACGGTGGTCGAGGTGGATGTCTACCAGAACTAAAGGGCCGTATGTTGGGCATACTCTCGACAGAGACCACGTTCCTTCACCATTGGCATCGAAGTTTGACAGAGCTTCAACTGGGCCGGTCCTCAGTAATCTCGCATTGCCTGCGTCGATATTATTCCAGCAACTGCAGGAAGAGAAGCAAGAGAGAATTTATCCCTCTGCTTTTGGTCTTACGGACTGTTCTATTGGGGCTTCCGGTTGTGTCCACCCTGTAAACTTCTTTTCGGGCCCGTCTTAGGAGTGCTCCGTCTCCGCACCTTTTTGGTTGCAGATATCTGTGGTTGTTTGTCGCCTGGATCCACTGCAGTCGTATACTTAATGGAGGTTGCCCAGGTAGTCTCTGCATAGTTTGGTGCTAACACCATTTTATTCTGGGCCGTTTCCTTTCCGTGACATGCCCTACGTCTCTGATCACGCGACCTCCCATCGAGAAACATCGCTTTGCCCGATGCCCAACCTCTTTAACCCGCTCTCATAAGATAGGTGGCGATGCCGACGAGGTCATCAAAATCGAAGATGAAGAGCGCAGCCTTCTCAGGTTCCTTCGGTCTAGGATCAACAACGCAATCGACGCAAAAGGCGGACATGTGGTAACCGAGACATCCCCGTCGCAGTTACAACGCGAGTGGAAGCATGACCTATTGGGTCAAGACGCCATATAATTCATGTCCCATCTGGAAGACTTGCTTCGGTTAAGTGCTGTCAGGGCTGTCAAAAAAAATGGTATTGCGGCTGCTTGGTAGCACGCGTAAGGTCAGGTATAAATCTGGCCGTGGTACTGAAACCTACGTCGTGGTAGGTCTTCGAGAGTACATCATTAGCCGTTTTCTCTGTGACAAAGAGCACAGTAATTAGGAACTCGTAACTTAAGTAATCTCGAACAAAACTCGGCAAAACGCAGTTTTGGAGTATCAAGGAGAGAAATCGACATGGCATGCATGAGACTTCTGCCTTTCTGGAAATAACGATTACTGACCTCAGTGCCTGCTAGCTCGTGCTACGCCTCACCGGTCAGGGCCTGAACCAAGGCCTCGCCTAGGAAAGAGTTATACGAGCGATTAACGACCGCATTATTAAGAACCTTAATAACAGTAGTGCCCTTGCGGACGAGTCGCCCCCTAACACACAAAAGCGCGGTCGTAATACTAGTAACTGTAGCGATCGTTAACCTATAAAGAAGAAGGCGTGGGTGGCGTTACTGCCGCCTAGAGGGAATGAGCAGGCCCCATAGTGAGACTGTTGTAATAAGAAATAAACCCTAACTATTTACTTAGTTACTAACTAAGTTACTTAAACTAGTAATAAGTCTTATGATAACTACTTAATTATTGGTAATAACTTAATTATTGATAGTGACCTGACTGTTGATAACGGCTCTATCCTGGAGGACGACTCCGTCCTAGAGAACGACTCCGTCCTAGAGGACGACTCCGTCCTAGAGGACGACTCTAATAATATCAGCACTAAGACCATCAGAGCAGCCACTAAGGCTACCAAGCCTTTAAAGCCACCTTCGTATGCAGTGGCATTATCTAACATTCTGAACAACACGACTATGAGCCAAATGCATGCAAAACTCGTGCAGAATCTCACTAGGCTTCTAGTTAGGATCACTCGGTCAGCAAAGCAGGAGGTTATCAGCACCCTCAAGCTTGAGAAGCAAGCCCTTGCTCTCACCTCTAGCTACTTCTCCCATCTGCGCGCACAAAATTCAACTCGTGTTTACGCTCTTCGCACCCATCGCATTTCAGCTTTTTCACCACCTTCAGAATCACAACAGTCATAGAAAACATGGAAGAGCAAGTCTTGTCAGAGGAACTCGGGTGCTGTGGGACGAATTGGGAAAGAGCGCCTGAGGTCAGTTGAGTTGCGACTTCCCGTTGCTGCTTCTCTCGATCGCGTCGCGTCGCTTCGGCTATTTAGCCACCACCTCCTACATCAACTCTTACTTTCTCCCACCGCCAAAAACTCTTGTACCGTGAAAATCATTTCACCTCCAAACTGCCCCCGAGCCAGGGCGTCTGGTCTCCTACTTCCAACCCTCTTCCAACCCTCTTCCACTTCCAATCCTCTGCCACCTCAAACTCCTCTCCTCCCAAACCTTTCTCACCTGCCACCTTCTTCAGCTGTCAATTTTTTCCGCCTCCAAACTTCCAACTTTCCCTCGCAATCAAAATTCGATCGTCCCCAATTCCTTCCCACTTCATTTTGGGAAAGCCCCAGGCCCTCGAAAATGGAGGCCTTGCCAGTGGAGACGATCGTGGCGATCATGCGAGAGTGCGACAGTATCGACGACCTTCTCGCACTTGCTTCTACATGCGGACGCTTTCGATCGACTTTCGACAAGTTCTCTCCTAGCATTCTTCAGCATCTCAAGGCTCCTGGCATCCCAGACTTTGATGACGCTCTCACAGTGGTAAGACACCACAACCATTATTCTCCCGTTGCAAAGAACCAATCTAACAAAGTTCTTTTCAAATAGGTCAGAGCAACCGCTATCGTCAAAGGCTCCTACGCCAAGGGAGTGCTGCCGCCCAAGCCCTTTCCCTTTGACCAGCTTGCGCACGGAAAGTCACCAGCAACGCTGGTTGAGTACCAGAAAGTCATCAACCTCATTGAATTTCTCAAGTTGATCGAGGCTGAGTTTGCTTACCTCTGGCGGAAGTACCTGCCATACATCAAAGAAGACCTCGATGACCTCCGGCGCTCTTGGGAAGGCGCGTTCAACGAAAGCATGCTCAAAGCCCTACTCATGAATGCTGTCCTGGCTGGGGAGATGGCGGAGCCTTTTTGGAACGCCGGCCAAAAACTGAGCGATCCTTCTGGCACTGGTGCCAAGATCCTGCAGTCAATTGAGGACCCCGAGAGCCGTCATCTGGGAGGTCGTTGGCAGCGCGACGAGTCTGGTATGACTTGGGTCACACGTGACCACTACACGGAAGTCAAGGATTGGCTCAACGACAAAGACATTCAGTATCTCGAGACATACAACGCCTACAGAAATGACAGGTACACGGGTATCAGCAAGGATCTCAGCAACACAACCTTCGGCAGGCTGGCAAAGCACTTCAGGCTCGACAACTGCGCCGACAGTTTTCTTCCTCGAATTTTTCAGACGACTTTGAGGGACTTGCAAGACTATGCCTTTTTCGAGCATCCCGAGGATCAAGAGAACCTTCCGTACTTTCAAACAAGATTCAACAGCGATTCCCCGATCAAGCAGATGGTCGTTGCGATTCTCCACCTCGGTCCATTGCTGCCAGGAAAGCTCAGTCGCCTCAGTCCCAAAGCCCATGCAGGAAGAAGAACCGTCGACTTTGTTCCATTCGGATGCTTCAACGTCCACACTTACGCATTCGACGCCGTTGAGGGAGACTATTGGGAGCCTGAGTTCTTCTGGGGACAGGTTGGTGGCATTAGTCTGCTGAAGGCTCACAAGCCCCGCGGCGTTGACTCGGGAGGAAAGTTCGCGGACCTTACCGACATTCTGAGCTTCCATCGGGGAGATTTGGATTACATATTTGAGAAGAATGATGAAAAGTACAATTGCGGGTATGATCGTCGTTGTCAAGCCGAGGCGGACTGGGACACCCGATGGAACAGGATCAGGTGCGACGGAGACATGGATTGGTAGGGTGTGGAACAAGGTCACGGGAAAATAGCTTAAACACAGGATGGCATACAAGATTATCGATAGCTTCAATACATGTTGGTCTGCAGGACGTACATATAACGTTGTGTCACGGATGGTCCGCGTGATGTTCAATCTTCAATTCTCTTTCGAATGAGAGCATCGAGGTAGCGACTGACAATTCCATGTTTTCCAAACCCACCCAACCAACACCTTGCAAGTAATAACACCGACGCTACAGAAATTACCCATCAAATCTATCTCTACCGTCTATCCTTTTACATCGGTGGCTCAACCTTCATTGCCGGTGACTTCCGTGATTCGCATCGTCTGGGCCTCCGGCAAGGCCTGGGGAACAAGTTGTTTCGCAAACGGAGGTGGATCTTTTTGAAATGCTCCCGCTGCAAAATCGTTAGTTGGCCGTCGTTTGATTTGCTCAGCAGACTTGCTCACCATGTTGTCTTTGCGACTGAATATTCGACCGCAATCAGGGTGCGGGCACTTGATCGTAGGCTGGTGCGAGCCCATATGACGTTGGTAGTCTTTCCTCGTTGAAAACCCAACGCCAGCTTTCGCGCAGGGCTTCTCCGTGCAGAAGAAGCACTTATCGTGGCCGCGGTAGTGTTTCCTCAAGTCGCACGCGCGGATGAATACCCGTGTAGACCGGCACCCCTGGAACTTGCATCGCCAACTTCCATTCGCGTCGAGGTATCCCATGTGGCGCAGGTCTTCTGGTTCCCACGTCTCCTCCTCGCGCTCTTCTGCTGGGCTGGATGAACCCTCACTCGTACTCCATACGTCCCAGCTGGGCGGTTGGCCGGCCATAATGTTGGCTGGCGCGGGAGACGTGATCACCCGTGTGTTGGAGGCCTGGACCAGATGGCTGGGCCCGTACTGTGGTATGGCACCGGAGGTCGTATCCAGGTACGGCAAGGGCTGGTAGAGGCATACAGGATCTGGATGCAACGTGGATTGAAACCATTCTCCGTTGAACGGAGGTGCTGGCCCGAGGCTGAACGGGTAGGGCGCCGGTCGCGCCTCGACTTGTGGGAAGTATTCGCCTCCATTGAAGGAGTTTCGCGCAGTCTCAAATGGCGGCTCCATCTTGTTCACGGAACTCCTTGAGCATGCGAATCAACGGCAAAAACAGGCTGGAAAGAAAGAAAGAGATCAGCAGAGGTTGTCCTGTTTGTGGAACGGGGGAATAGCAAAATGTGGCAGAATGCTCCGAGTTAAAGACGAAACCAACCCGTAGAAAACCGTAGATTTCCAACCCGTCGATATATATCTGGGCATGATAAACTCTATTCTCGTAACCTGGGCCAATAGCAAGGCGGCGGTATAGCAGTTTGGGGTGCCGTTTCACCAGTACGTACTTACTGTTGTTGGCCGAAATTCCACAGCTTCGAGAACTTGGCTTCACCCCGCCTGGGCCCTTTCATCGCCGAATGAACGGGCCATGTGGCGGTTGGTAATCGGCAGCCGCTGTGGTCGGCATTCGATTCAGCTGAGAGTCGCCTTACGAGCTGGTCGCGATCTTCCGCCGGGGCTCCCGGTCCGGAAACCCCACTGTGAAGATTGCGCTGGGATCCCCGGCGCCCTGGTTTGACGTGATGCGCGTGCAACACTGCAGTTGGAATATGCCAGTGTCAGGGGCTGGGCAGAGTGCTGGCATCATAATCCCTGCGTCATTGCCCGCCTTCAACGATGTTGGGACTTCTTCGGCGAGAGCGTGAATGGTGCGTAGAACTGCTCGGTAAACACAGAGGCGCCCACTCTCAAATGGGTTTGCGCGAATTCTGATTGTCTTGTGGTTGAGTTGAAAATCCCGCTGTCGCATTCAATCTATCAGGCATCCGTTTTCGAACAGTATGCTTATTTTATCAAGTGTAAGCGCTGTCCGTGCCCGCCGACGGCGATCATGCCGCGACTCAACAATCAACTGTTCCAAGTCCCGCACCTGATATCCTTATTAAAGAATTAATTGCAATATAAACTCAAAGATATTCGACCGAATTTTCAGCCGGCCTCACCCGCGGCAGTTTGGGTGTCCCTCTTTGCGTCCACTGCGTCTAGGTCGACATTGAAAATTCTACACGCTCGGATACATGAGACTAAACTGACGTAGACGTGTAAAAGCGTTGACTCCTGCATGTTTTGATAATGTACTTACAGCTTGAGATGCAAATCATTCTTGAGAGTCCTGGCGATACACCTTCATTTCTTTGATCTGTTGTACATATGTGAGCCTTGAGGGGTTTAAGCATTCACGGATCCTTGCGGATGTATGATTGAATATTCGAGGTCGTAGATCAAAGGTGGGGCTACTACTACTGTTTATGATGGCAAAAATCCCCGACAAAGGCAAACGAGTTTTTCAGTTGCCTATGATTCAATCCAAGAGGGTCAACCTATCCCGGCTTATTCCTAGCGAGAATTGGGAGCGTCACATTGGTTCGATCCATCCCCTGATGGAAATCCCTCTTTCTGATTCATCCTACCCGTTAGAACCTTGTCAGGTCTCCAAATGCAGCTTGCTGACTTGAATTTCTCCTATCTTTTCAGATTGAAGACGAAACAGTACGTGAACAACATAGCTGATGGAACCTCAAAAAAGACTCAATTTAAGAGTTCGCCCACTACCGCACAGTTTGGGAACGGGGTCTGCGATAAGTGTGGCACGGCGCTGCCGTGGTTGGTAAGAGGTCTCGGCAGTTGTGGCCCTCGTCCGATATCCGGCAACGACGGCCTCACGAATCCGGGTCCCGGGGGGCCTATGGGTCCGGGCGTCCCCTCAGAAAGTAATAACGGCCTTCTCCGTCAATACTACGCGACCGGTTGGCAATGCGACTGGCTCCTGGAGTCTTGAAAGCTGTCAAACCCCTCCCATTGATTGACCGGGGTCCCTGTCGAAATCGGTTAGCCAAAGTTTCGAGTCGTCTAGCGCGTGGCGAGATTCGCCAAACTCGTGATCTTAGTACATAAACCTGGGCAGTTATTTCCCATCGATTTCCGTTCAGAGAAAAATGCCGCGCACTCGGTCCTGAATTAGGTATCAATCGTGTCAGTCAAAAAAGCTCTGTTCACTGAGCGTGAGCGTGGCCCGGCTGGTGGACGTTTTGGAAACTCCCGGCAACTATGGCATACGTACTTGAATGAAACGCATCAAAGAAATATAGACGCACCAGGGGGAACTAGAACGGAAAACGATATTGTCAAATGGTCTTTTGTGTTAATGTTTCCGGTATGAAGATATCAATACCGGTAATGGAATCGAGTTCAATCACGCCGACACTCGTTGGCAAAGGGAGGTACGGTTCGGACGAGGTTTTCACGAAAGACACTATGGCATGGCAACTTAACAGAAAGGGGTCGCAAAATATTGACACCATGCTCCAGGGTCAAGCTCAGACGCTAGGTGGGAAGGTTTTAACCAATTCAGACAACTCATGCGATACAAGGCACGGCAGTTCTCAAATCATCAAGTCCGCCTTTGAGCTGGGTTTACATCTGCATACTACGCTTCTATCAACCGCCTTGGCAGCCAAGGTTTCAACAAGTCGGCATTTTCTATCAGCTTACATCCAACATACCTGACGTGCGACTTCGTTGTATGTTGAATGTATAGGCGTCTATCACAAGCTCAGATTGGATACCCTGAACAAGAAGGATCCAGAGAATGAAATGCGCACATCATACAAATGAAAACCATCCACGTTCAAGCTCATTATGTTACAAATTTTAGACATACCAGAAGAGTTGCACGGGGGCAACATGTAATCTTGTTCCACCTCCATAAATCACTGTTCACAGACACCAACATGCAATACACCATTCTGAATCGGTGACAGCTGCCAGGATAGCATCCGCATTCATGATACACTCCATTTTGTGAATAGATACACTCATAGAAGTTTTAAGACCAGCATTAACCTAGTATGGTACTCTAAAAGAATACTATCATGTGTGGTGGGGTACCTGAGGGGGATATGAGGCCTTGTTGATGAATCTCAAACAAGACCAGATTTATGGGACGATGCATTCAAAGAAGGTCGGATCTCTCCTCTAGTAATTCTCACAGGCTCGTTCAAGTGAGGAGAGAAAAGCAAAGTATGAAGCTACGAATCAAACAAGGGGGAAACCTTTTCGAGAGAACACCACCACCTTGACTCGGTTTCTTTATCGATCAGGCGCGATGAACAACCAAGGAGGTCTACGAGTGACGGGAACTACCAAGTACCAGCTCAATACGTCTTCTCATTACAGACACATGCTCTCCATATCACCTAAAAAAAAGGCCACGCCTCCGTCAACAACCGTAGATCTCTCATACGTAAGCTGGCCCGAGGCCCTCCCTGCCAGACATCTGTCCAGGCTGGCAACGTCTTCAGGAGCCTTTGACCCGCTGAGATGCTCTGCCATGGTGCGTACCTGGAAGTGTGTGCTGAAAGCAAAGGACGATTAGACGCACTACTTCCTTAACCACTTTGCTTGAATGAAGCATCTTCAGTGAGCCCCTTTGATTTGTAAGGCTAGTGCCAATAGTCGACCACATATCAGTGCGGATCATGCTGGCGCAATATGCGATGGCTATATTGGCTTGGCCGTATCTACTGCAGCGGCTTGTGCAAGACCTCAAACGGCCCATTTGCTGATAGAATACGCCAGTGCAAATGGACATCTTATACGTATCAACTTTGTCTCTACTTTTCAGAGCAAGACAATTTATCTCTTGGGATGGAATAAGATCCAATCAACTTCATACCTCAGCTCTGCTGAACGTGACCTGACCTGCATTTTGGTGACCGAAGACTGCTCGGGGCATTCATTTCTAGTCATCTTTTAATGATGTATTAAGGAAACCGAGCAGGAGGAAGTAATAGCACAGATGTTGTTTCAATATGTCCTTGCTGATCTCGAGGACTGGGCTCTTTGTAATCAATCCGATGTTTGCCACCGTCTCATTCGCAATCATTCATATTTCCCCTTGTGGATTAGGAGCC